GTAGAGGGCAGCGGGAGGGGGGGTTCCCCTTTAGAACGGGCCTTCTGAAATGGGCGTGTTACGGATCCCCGTTCATTTCCACGCCACCGGAGACAATGCAAGCACCTTTCCTTCTGTCATCACCCATCTTTATCCAGAGGGTGTGTGTGTATTCAGAAGCCAGCCAAATGCCACAATTAAATCGTAGGTTTGCCGAAGCCGGCTGGTGAAAGGCACTTAACCGGAGACCGTTCTTTCCTGCACGCTTGTCTTGGGTCATCATCCAGGGGCAGCCCATAATTTGAAGAAGAAAAAGAAGAAAGAGCAGAAATAGGAACAGAATAGAGGCTGATGACGAGGCCACTGAATGAGGAAAACCGTTATACATTATAAAGCCTGACCTTTTCTGAAATAGAGTGTCATGCTCGGTTGTTCCAAATGTATTTCAGTCGTGATTTTATATACCGTTTTTAATACAAGATTTGTTCTTTTTAAATATCGGTTCTGCTTGCTGTTTTTTTTTTTTTTTTTTTGCTTGTAAATAGCAGTTTTCGTTATGTCAAGTTGCCTTGAGTCCTTTTTAAGAAGAAAGGCAAAATCAACATATTTTAATTAAATAAATTAGCTTGAATCTGTGTTAAAATCCTCGGAACTAAAATAAACGTGTTCTACTTTATTTGGATGCTTTTAGCAGCTTCCCAGTAACAAGTGTTTAATGTAGCTTGGGTTTATTTTACAGCGTTGGGAGGGTGCTGGCTTCTTTCATCTCCTGAAGGATTCAGACACCAGAAGAAATATCGTGAGTTGTCCTCGGACGTCGCCCTGACTTGGGGCGTTACTGCAAGAGAGCCTTTCTGTTACTATGGAGAAATACGAAAAGATCAGCAAGATCGGAGAAGGATCATACGGGGTCGTTTTCAAGTGCCGGAACAAAGATACCGGGCAGATTGTTGCAATCAAAAAGTTCCTGGAATCAGAAGATGATCCTGTTATTAAAAAGATTGCACTCCGAGAGATTCGGATGTTAAAGGTAACTTCATTCGAGATCCTTTTTGTGAGATCCCGGTAACTTACGGCTGGCTCCAGATTTCCCGTTTTTCTGTAAATTCGCTGATTTTGTTGATGTGTTGAATTCACTAAGCAATGAAAAAAAAAGGAAAAACTTCACCACGCTGCAGTATGTGTTTGTGTCACAAGCCTAGTGATAGGAGCCAGGTTTGGACCCAATGATGGTTGGGGGTGCTTAGTGGGTTGGAGCTTTAGGTACTATGAAGCCAGGGGGCAGGCGTTTGTCTCCTTGTGCCTCCCAAAACAGGGGATGGCCAAGACTGGCTGGAGCGTGGGAGGCTGATGGAGGTCTCATGCCCCCCAACGCTAAGCTGCACGCCGGTCCCAGAGGCGCCCTGCAGAAGCAGAGACGTGCTGGAAAACCACTGCTCAGCATTCCTACCTAGATAGCATATGGCAATGGGGACGGGGTGTGTGTGTCACCACAAACTCAGAATCGACTGGATGGCACATCATGATTTGTTATTACAAAAGATCCTCTGAAAGTGAAGAGGCCCTTTAGTCGTAATAATTCTAAGTCCTGTTTCTTACAGTGGGCTTACTTGAAGGAGCACCAAGACTGTAGATTGTTGCTGGTCTTGTCTTTCCTGAGTCAGCAAAGCTGAGCGAAAACGGTCTAGAACTCCTGTCCTTGGAGGTAGCTTTCCTTCTTGTTGAGAACCCGGGGCTCTTAGAAGGCATTCATTGACTGCCCACCCCACTCTGTTCCGTAGGTTTAGAGCTTGCAGGAGTGTTTCTAAGGGTTCAAGGTTTTGTTTTCTAAGGTTTTGTTTTCATGCTTTTGTTGTCGTGAGCATGGCTGATGGTTGGATTCCAAAAATTTGTGGTTTTGTTTTCGTGTGAATGGCTGATGGTCGGAATCTAAAAGATCTCCTGTATGGAGAATGAGTGCAGGGGAAGCGTCCCAGATGGAGATCCCAGCTGCGATACAAGGATATTATCTGCAAGCGGGATCTGAAAGCCTTAGGAATGGATTTTCTCAACAGATGGTAAAACTTGAAATCTGAGCGTTCAGCCTAGAGGCAGACGTTGCATCACAGCCTCTCCCAATTTGAAGAGACACTTGTCCAGCAGGCCGAGGCCGAGAGGCAGTCCTGAAAGCAGCAAAATCAGGGAGCTAGACAAGGGACAGATTGTGTTTGTCTTCATTGTGGAAGGGATGGTCACTCTTGAATTGGCCTCCTCAGCCACACTAGATGCTGTTCGAAGATCTCTGTTCATAGCACATTCCCATCGTCTCTCGAGATGGAAGGAGGCCTACCTTCCTAAGGGCAGACAAACCCCAAAGGCTGGCAATTGTATTGAGATAAAAGGGAGCAAGCCAAACGAAATGGCTTGGTGAGCACAGAAATATAGAAAGAAAGCCTTACGACACCACCCCTGACCAGAAGTATTTTTGCAGAGTTTTTTTCGGTTGCCCAGGGTTCCTGTGTCCTAGAGGTGAGGAAGGGCTCGGTTGGCTCCCTGAGCAGTCCGTTCCCACGGCTTCTCCCTGGTATGAGATTGACTCTCGCCTGCAAAGGGTGGCTTGCGTCATGTTCCCAGCGCCACAGCAGAGTGCGTTCTGCTCCAAAGGAATGTGCCAAGGCAGTCCAGATGCCGTAGGAAGAAAACCTCCCGGATGCCCTTGCGTTTCTAACCAAGGAGGATGCTAAGCACCAGCTCCGGAGACTTAGCTGTCCAAAACAGTCATGTTGCGTTTGCACCACCCTGCAATTTGCAAAAGTAAACCTTGCCCACCCTCTGCCAATCTGGCCGGTGGTGTTTTTCCAAATTTAGAAGCAGATAAAGTTTTGCTTTCCTCCCCTGGCTAATGCCCGGGTTTGAACGTGTCGCTTTGACTGGCAAAAGGACCGCTCCGGGCCCTTCCGAGAATTGCATCACGTGGGAGACCAAAGAGAGAGATCGCTTGGCTCCGTCTCCGGAGTTGGAATCAAATCTTTAATAGGTGCCTCATTTTATACAGCGGTGCCTCTACTTACGACCGTCCCGACTTACGACCATTTCGAGTTAACGACCAACTCCAGCCGCAAAAATTTTGCTTCGACTTGCGGCCGGAGCTTCCACTTACAAACAGAAAAAAGGCAGGGGAAAAAGGCGGGGAATTCAAATT